CAAATCTAGTCTTTGGTTCCTTTTTGAAAGATTATCTTAACTAATAAAAATAGACTGAACTGTCAGCGACGTCCGTTTGAACACACAGTGAAGATTTAGTCTCTGAAATCTTCTCTTCCCTGCAATCCGATTCCGATTAGGGGTCTAACACAGAGGTTACACTCCGTATTTTTCCTTTTCTTTTTGTGGGTGCGATTGTAAGCTAATCATATACCTTGTTTTGTCTCTTGATCATATCCTCTACACCTCTCAGACTTTGCTCTCCCCTAGTACGTCTTGCGTTGATGCGTGTATCAGGAACTGAAAGCGTAGATTAAAATACTTTCGTACTGTCTATAATTAGCTTATTCTTAGAGTGATTTTCCTTCTACCTTGCAACAAACCTACTGTAAAGTGTGATCGATAACCGAACACACTAGTGATAAAATGAAACGCCCACCACCAGATTACCTTCCCTTGACCTTGTATGACTACATCTTGTTTATTCACCAATCATAATTTTATGTTCATTATAAAACAATATTCAATATAGAGGTTTTAATATCCTGAAAAAAATAATAATTACGGAATTCACGACAGTTTACAGGCATGATCAATTTGGTATAAATAATATCATTATATGTACACAACAAACATGTGATTGGAGTTTTAAGGTTACTAGTTCAGTAATTGTTTAGGTATTACAGCGTGCATTGATCTAATCACTCACGCCACCACCAGCACCCATTCATTTACCCAGATACATGAACTTTTCGACTACTTCTTTGTGCTCACTACACAGGGTGAGTGCAGGTTTAGGGTCCTGCCAGTCTTGATAAAGTGCTTTTCACCTGGGAGATGCGAAGCACATACCATACCTACGGAAACTAATTGCCAATTGATTAAGTACGGATCGCATGGCTTGGATATTATTGTACAGTAAGAAAATACCATCTGTATACTCAAAGTCGAGGAGTCTTTCTCCAGGCAACTTATCCACACCGCCACTAGTTACATCCAACAGAGCTGTTTCCAGAATGTCATCGATGGCAAAGTTGAAAAGGAATGGTGAGATTGGGCAAACTTTCCTGACACTGCTGCTTGAACGGAACAGTGGAGAGAGGTGGTTATATGCCCTCACTCTGTTTGAGGTGTTTAGATATAAGTCCTTAAAGATGTTAACAAACTTCTCAGACTCACGCTTCTTCAATAGACAGTCCCAGAGAATAGTTCTGTCTAACAAGTCGAAGGCAGCCCTGATATCACGAAACACTACAATTGTTGGCCTGTGATAAGTATGACAGTGTTCTGACACTTGGTGGAGGGTGAAGATATGATCAGTACATCCTCGACCAGGACAAAAACCGGCCTGCTTCTCGCGAGTCAATCTTTCTCGGGTCTTAAAAGATCTACAAAGAATGATAGCAGCCAATAGTTTGGAAGCAATCGGAAGTAAATTTATCTTACGATGGTTCTTGCACAAATGACGTGAACTGTTTTTAAAGATAGGGACGATTATCGACTCATTCCATGATGTTGGAACACTCTCCAATTTCCAGACTTTTCTCCAAACACAGTGTACTATTCCCTTCTAGAGAGGTAGGATCATAGCCAATTGGCTATGCAGCTGCCAGTACTGACGCTGATCAGCTTATTAAGTAAACGTTGTCTTGGTATAGGATCAAAAGCAGAAGTATAGCCCAGAAAAGCGCATCGAACATACTTCTCAACCTTTTCCAAGTTGAACCCTATATTGTGATACCGAACAGCAACAGCATCTAAGGTGCTTCTTCTGTATCTGTAAGTTGATACGGATTAATGTGCCCTTTTTATCGAAGGGTGAAGAGGAAGTATCAATAATTTTTTTCATTGTTTTGAGGAAAGGTGAAGTTATTGCTATAGGTCTAAATTTCACATTCTCATCACCAGATACCTTCTTAGGTATAGGGATTATCTCTTTCTTTCCCCACATTTTCGGTATGAGATTAGATGAAAAAGTTCTGTTAAAGATACTCCTAAATGGATAATATAGAACGTCAACACACCTTTTAAACAGGAGGTTTGGGATACCATCAGATCCTAAATATCTGGATGAATTAAGTGACTGCAGACATCTTCTGACATCAGTTTCAGTGAAACTAGGAACACAGCTATTCTTTAAACCTGTAGATAAAGGGAGCATTACATCAGATGACTGACGTACAAAAGACTTGTTTAAGGCACAGACATCCAGTCGGTTATCGCCTTTAATGTGCCTGTCACCTGTGAGTTCTTTAAAGATCTTTTACAAAACAAGAGTTTTTGAGTAAACAAAAAGTTGAGATGTCTAATCTCTAGGTTTATCAGACCATTTAGCTCACGAACTTCATCAAAGTTTTCATCCTTGTACATTCTCTCTTTTACCTTCGAAATCGTTTTAATTGTAAAGATGTAAGTCGATCAACACTTACAAAAAATGGCTTCAATGGGACAACAAATATCAAAACAGAACTTAGCATAACAAGTGTTAACATCAGTAGTGTTTTCCAATGGGTCATCTGTGAACAATTTCTAGTTAGTCGTATGAAACATGTTTTTCAGATTTCGGATATTTTCTCCTGAGTAATTCCTAAATTTGACTTTCTTGGTATGATGTAAGTGTACTGTTTCTGTGCTTTACATGTACTTTAGGTAGAACACGAATTATTCAGTGATCCGAGATGGACAATGGAGTACGTTTACGAGTCACATATATACCCACATCATTAATGAAACCAAAGTCCAAATGAGCATCCGAACGAGCAGAAAAATCTGCTGCATTTTGGTGACCTAGTGATGCAAGGAATATATAGTCACATGAATTAAAATCACGACACACAACTGAAAGTGAATCACTGAAGGCAATAGCAGCGAACTCAGGGAATTCATCGGCAAAAACAGATAGTGCAGATGATATGAAGTCTGTAGTCACGTAGATGTTGGTAACAGAAACATATTTGTATTTATTCAGACGTTTTGGACGGCATCTTAAAGTTAGACAGTCGATAAAGTCATTTAAAAACTTGAAACACGCAAAAGTAAATCGACACCAGTTCACGTTTACAAACGTCGCTACACCGCCATTGCACCTCTTTTTATCATTTGGTATGCAAGAGCAATCAAAAAAGTACGACCAAAATTTTGACTCATCGTAAAATTCGTCGGTTTTCCATCTTTTTCAGCCGTCCTGGAAAAGAAAAAAGGAATTATAGGTGCATGTTGAAACGCACTCGTACATGAGTAAGGATGTAAGTTGGGTGCAAAAAAGAAAATGAAGTGGTATACATGAGTTTAGTCAACATGCATCGGCTTTAGAACAATCTTCGCATGATGGTGTTTTGTAAAAAATATATGAATATGCATAAATATGAGCATATCAGCAAAAAAAATCGTTTTTGGTTTTTTACCATAATGATACAAAAAATAACAACGAAACAAAGTGTTGTGTTGCGTCTTACACATAATAGTCGTTCAAGTGTTCTGAAAACCTTACCTTTCCTCCAGAACGCGTCGTTCTGGGTTGGTTGTCAACACCATGGGAGTTTCGTCGTGACTGCTGATTATGATTTGGGGTATCGTGATTGTCGTTATTATGTCATTCGGCTGTACCGAGGGAAATTCAAATTGTTGGGGTCTCCTTCTAGAAACACGGTCATCGTTTATTCGTTCCGATAGATGATATAGTACTTTGGTTTTCAGCAGAGGACTTTTAAAGTTTTTCCATCAAGGAGCGAACCTCACATTATGTGTTTTTCATATTTATAAGATGTGTAGAAAAAATAAGTATGCAAGAATGAAGCAATACATAAATTACAGAAATATTTAACTCTTATTTTCTTAAAACAACTGGGATGGAAAACTACCTATAGGCATTTAAATTTATATTGGACGAATGGTAAACTCAGTCGCTTTACATTGTTCCATAACGACGTACTTGTGTTCGTTAGTAACGATAACAATTGTCTTGAGAGTTCAAATAGGAGAATGAATAGATTTCAAAAAATCGTCCAACAACTGCTGTTTAGCAAGCTGGAGAACGAAATGAAGACAGCTTTAAGATAACAGAAGCTCTAAAAGTGTACTCAGAATGAGGACAGCTTTTGAGAATCAATGAGATTTCGGAAGTAAATCTCCTACATGAAAAGAGTAGAAAGGGACAGCGTCCTGACTTCAAGTAGCAAATTTTAGTAAGGGAACTAACTCTAGCAACAAAATAACAGTTAATTAAAAACCTAAAAACACTTGAAGATAAAGTTTAGATCGTAGGTGTAAGTGCCAGTGGAATATCACTAGGCAAATCATCTGGCAGTCGGGTCGCTGAATATAGAACAGTCTACTGGTCGCAGTCAGGGTCAATCGCCAGTCATAAACAGATCTATATGGTAGTGATCACACTCCGCCTCTCGTACATATTTCTTACCAACAAATAATGCCAATGTCGCCGTGTTCGTTCTATATGATCGTTGAAGTAGCCACAGTATCCCGAATCGACGAACGGATATCCATAGACTTCTATGTAAGCTGGCTGGTTATGCCTTTTCAGTCCAGCTTGGGTAGGTCCCTAATCATCGACAAAGATCGCCTACACTGGCAGCTCAAATTTCTTGTCATAACAACGGCTAGGTGAAATTTATCATTTAATTCTTGTTTCCACATGTCTGAGTCTCGGTGAAATTGAGAACCTGTCGCCTTTGAACTTAGGAGGTTGCTAAAAAATTTTTCCAGAAATGTTCTCTCTCGTAGATCAATAAAAACCAACATACTATTACAATGTAACATAAATTTTACGGTGAGGAATACTAGTTTTTTCCTTACAAATGAGTAGAGAAGAAAATTTCATATGGAAATGAACATAATCAGAATATTATATCAAACATGTGTACGAAAATTTCTGATAAGAGAGAGGCTACTAAATCTGGGAACTTGCACATACAGTGAATGTGTGGGTTTTAACTAACATTTGATTTCTTTGCTCATGTACATCTTTAGGCGCTACTTTTGACACTACCGCGTTTTTCGCGCGCTAAATTAACATACAGCTACCTTCGTTGTGATTGGTCAGCTCAATGGCAGTAAGTCGCTGTGTTTTAGCAACTATTTGGTTTTTATTCAATGAATCCAGTACTTCTCCAACAGCGTATTGATTTAAATAAAACTTTTAATTCGTAATATGAAATTAGTTCTATATGTTTCACATGGAAACAGTTCTCCATAAATATTGATTGTGTCCCAATCAACCAATAAAGGGGAAATAAAAGGAAATGCTTTGGTACGGAAAGGAGAAATAAAAGGGAAAACGCGCCAAAATGTCACCTTTTTCGCCTAAATATCCGCCGAATCGCCTACTTTTTGCCTAAATTTCCGCAAAATTGTCTAATTTTCGCCTAAATATACGCGGAATTGCCTGCTTTCCGCGTAAATACACACAGAATTGCGGGTTTTCCATCCAACTTTTAAATCATCATTGGCATTACCGAAAAGGTCTTTAAAATTCGCCTTTATTTCTACAACCAACCACAGTGAAACTGCAATGGATGGGAAAAGCGCTAAATATGTTTAATATTTTTATTTCAAAGGAAAAGCGTATTATTTTACAACATAATAGCGGAAGCTTGAGCATCAGTCGTTTAGCATTTCAATTGTAATTGCCAATTCGTTGTGCTTTGAAAAGATCTGCAACAGAAGAAACAGGTGATGTATTATTTATAACACATGTGCATTTAATCGCAAGTTCACTGACAATGAGTAAGAATTTAAGATCTCTAACGAAAAAATGTTTATTAAAAATTAAGTACAACGTCAAACAAAATTGCACCGACTACATTCTTCAGCAACGTATGTTCGGCTATTGACAGTGAAAGCAGTCGTCCTGTGAATTCTGAATAGTAAAGAAAATAAATAGTCAAAAGGACATCTGAAAAACATGCTAAAGCATGTCTCAAGACACAGCCAATTACTTTAAGCTAAACTTACGGTTATGTTCGCTAAGACTGTTGACTGCAACTATAAAGCAGTAGGGAAATTATCACTTTAAATTAGTACATACCTGCTCTTGTTTCCGTCGATTACGCTTCATTAACTTGTCTCTGACGTCATGGAAATAACCTTGTGTCGCGATGTCGTAAAGCTTTCAGCAGAAAACGTTTTCTGCTGAAAGCACCCAATTTCCTTTCGTAGGTTATATCTGACTTCAAGTTTTTTGAACACTCCCACCGTATACGATTTCTGTGTGCCCGTTAAACATCATCATTTAAGACTAAAAACTTTTGCTTCACTAACAGACCTACAGGAACTGTGCTCTTACGTTGTAATCCTTATGCAGCAGTTAGCTACTAGGCATTATGTTATGTGGTATGTTGTAACTAACAGTTAGGGTACTATTAATAGGTCTCACTTTTTGTCTTCTTAAGGATATATTCTGTTTCTAGGAAGAAACTATTATCATCTATTTATAGAGTCATTCGGGTGCCCATACTATAAGTTATGTATGACTTATATCGTATTGTTAGTATACCTAATTCTACATATTTACTAGCAATAGTACGAGCCTTCATATACGTTGACTAATGCTCACTAGTAATTTTTCGTCTAATTATGTCATGGAGCATTGAAGTAGACACCCCGACTCTAAACGAAGTTTAAAAAGCCATAGCTAATCTGAAACGAAAAAGAGCAGCTGGTCCAGATGGATTGGCTCCAGAGGTATTTAAGTATGGTGGTACAGTTTTAGCGATTAGGTTGACCAATATTTTAGCAAAAATCTGGGAGCTGGACGTAATCCCATCTGACTGGTCTCATTCACTTATTGTCCCTATGAATGAGGTTAGGCACAGAGTATTATGGAAGATAGTTAACCAGTTGATGAGGTTGTGAATCTTCATCGACTGAGATGGTTGGGCCACGTGTTGCGTATGCCTGAACACCGATCACCACGACACGCAATGCTGACTAGTGTTGGGGATAATTGGAAGAAAGTTAGGGGCGGCCAAACCGAAACGTGGCAGCAGTGCTTGAAGTCACTAACTTCTAGTGTGAGCTATGTTGGTAGATGCAGACTACTTGGTTGGGGTCCACGTGACTATCTCTGCTTCGGTTTGGGCATCCGGGCAGTATCACAGCGCTCACACAAAATCAAATGAGATTTGTGTGGCTCATATGTATTTGGTGCCTCGTTGTACCAATATTTATGTGTTTAAATAAATAATAATAAATAAAAACGTGACTATCCTAACCAATGGTTGGAGACTCTGGATGACATGGCTCATAATTGATCACAATGGCGTCGGTGTATACACTTTCTGTCTTCCCTTAAACCCTGAGATCAAAATTGATTTATATCTTTCTACGAACTAATTCTTTCTTCCTGTAATATATCCTTATACGCAATCTTTCTTTTATGTATTACCACCACTGAATTAACTAATATAAATCCGGTGTCCATCTTGCTGTGCTAATGAGGTATGGAAACTTGAACTGATACATATATATTCCTGGTCCTACGTTACAGCTGAATGACTCCATGTCATTCTCCTCCTAACTGCTCTGCATTTCTCACACTACTCCCTAATTTGTTGCTATTAGCTTAATCAAATAATGGTTTTTACTAGTTTTTTAAACCTCGGTAATTCAAAGCTCATCTTTTTTCCAGTTCATCTATACAGTTTTTGTCTCCCATCTATATTCAAAACTCCTGACTACATTTAAATGTGTTGGATTAATACCACGCTTACGTAAACAAAAGACAATCTCTTCTGCCCAAATATAATCTCTTTTTATTGTTAAATATTTTTGGTAGGTGGTTTACCACCACTCTGTCAAGAATTAATCTATGTCTTAACTAAACAAATAAGTCATACGTTTTTCGGTAATGGTGAGAATCATGTTAGTTGTCGATATTTCTGCATGACATCCAAAATTTTCATTATTTCATGCGCCCAGTAATATATATATATATATATATATATATATATATACCTTACCTCACTGAATGCTATTTATTATTTATTTATTTTAACACATAAGTATAGGTACAGAGAGGCACCAAATACATATGCGCCACACAAATCTCAATTGATTTGTGTGAGGGCTGTGATACTGCTCGGGTGCCCAAACCGAAGCAGGTGGTTTTCTTAGGAGGCCACACCCCGAGCCTTTGACCTGAACGTCTGACCCACAAGGCAGTGGAGCATCGTGAGGAGATGCAGTCCCATGGTAGCCGGTGACCAACGATTGGTTCATACGCCATTTGTTCCTTCATGATACTGGAGCCCATGTGCACCATTGGTTTGGGGTCCGGTTAAAGCGCCAGACATTCGCTTTTCGTCCTCTCATTTTTGTAAACAACACCCCCGCCACGAGAAGGCAGTGAGTAGGACTTCCCTGGCAGAGGCTATATACGCATGGCCATGTGAGAGCATTTCGAGAGGGAGAGCGGACTCTCCCCACTCTCGGCCGTACCAGGGCATTTGGGGGCACTGAATGCTATAGATTGCGCATATTAAATCTCACACCACAACTTAATAATAGGTGACATTTGAATCTTTCGAAATAATTTATAAGGAGTCAATTTGATTCATAACGATGTAATTAGTACAGAGTAAGGGTAGAGGACTGTAAACAAAAGGCATTAAGTGCTGTTTCAAGAGGTAAATCTCTGAGAATCTACTCAACTAGTGTTTGTTTTACAGAAACCTAAAGTAGACTGAATAGATCGTATAAGTAATAGGTCCTGACCCTTATGTACTGTAAGCGTCAAATTAGAATTCAAGTAGGAATATTCTAATATTTTTAGAGTTCTAATATTGCTGATCAGTAAAAATGAACTTTAGCATGACTGTATACATAACTAGGGTAGGATATAATTCTAGGTCTTTGGTAATCAAGTTGCTTCTGTAATTTATCGGGTTATTTCTCGTACGACTGTGTAGCGGTCATACATATTGTCTAGAAACATGTGATAACTGGTAAGGTTATTTCTAAACAGACATTACATTTACTTCAAACCTTTTTCATTAAGTTCAAGTTACTGGGTTTCACAAGCCTACAGTATCATAAAAACTTGTGTTGAAAAGCTTTGAGTAGTATCCTTTACCTGATTAGTTGCCGCTTGAGTTTGCCTGCTTTCATAGAACACTGATTGGTAATATGTGGGGCATATTTCTAGTCAACATTTTCAATGAATATCTTGTTTCATCATATTTTCCACCATGCTCGTATTTTAAGATTAGTTATCAACATCCGACACCAACATTTAATGATCTCTAAACAGTTGCATGAGATTTACACGATAGTTTAACTGTTCATCAGAGATTATCATATTTGTTTCCATCGGAATATGCATTTAATCCACTTGTTAGCTTCCCTCATATTGCCGTTTCTTTTTCAGTTGTTTGTTCGATGCTATAGCCAATAATAATTTGCGACATTGTTTTGATTTGATTGGCTTTTGATAGATATCACTCCTGAAAACTACGAAAACTCACATTGTTTTAGTTCTAATTGCTTATTATATCACTCGACACCCATCATAATAAATAGAATAGTCTGAGCTAATCCAAACAAACCTGTCTAACTAAATGACTTATTTTTAGTTTTTGTTGGACCCTTCTAGGTCAAGAGAAAATATTGGTACTAAATTAATCAAGTCAATAATGTATTGGCACTACAATAATAATGGTTTATGTGCATGTTTACTGCTTGTGCTGTCACAAAAAATCCCCAAGTTCGTTTACAATTTATGTTTTTATTAGATAGTTCTCAGAAACTTGTTCAGTTATGCTGCTATCGAATATAGCTGTCCATCACTTACTTATAAGTAGATGAATGGTTCAGTAAAACGTCGCCAAGGTATTATTAATGTTTTCAAAGTAACCAAAGCGCTAGTGCATAACATGAGAAAAGTTTAAAAAAAATGTCATATTTTAAGCAGCTATCAATGTGAAAAGTGCAGTAAACTAAAAAAAAGCACCCAACAATGCTTATTCATAAAATGTTAAATGGCAAACTTTGTGGAAAAGTCAGTCAAATCTTATATCTTCAATACTTTCCTCAGATTTTTAACTATTTGTAAGTACCTTTCATTCATCTTGAAATCCCTATTCTTGTAATGTTTCACCAGTTATTGTAGTGTCAAAACAATTTGATTCGTTACCATAAGGTTGTATTTCAACTGATAATGAGTTAGACTGATATTTTTAAAACTCAGCCTTACTCAGTAGTGAAACAGTAACTCACTAGAACATAACTGTATAAAGAAATAACTAATTCAAGCGTTTAGAAAGAAAAATTCCGTTTTTTTTCTAGTTACTTATGCCATTAGTTGTATATTAGGATTATAGAAGAATTTTTTGAATGGTTTATATTACAGATTGGCTGTAACTGAGACAACCAGTAGAAACCAATGAGCACTAAGTAGTTGTTTCGATCAAGTATGGAAACCCTCAATAGTTCACATTCGTGACTACTGAAATACCATTCTGTAATCCACATCTACAACCTCAGTAAAGTCGTGTTTAGGTGATATCTGTATGTTAATCCCGGCTTTATCAAACTCCATCGTTCATATCTTGTCACTCGATTTTTGAATTTTTTTTCTGAATTCAATCATCAGTAAGCTAATGATTTATCAGAATGAAAGGATTATAGTGGTTTTACGGTTTAGAAATGATTAACATCACAGACATTGACTTCATCTGGACATTCATTAAAAACCAGGAAATGTTGAACAGCTGTTTTTGTCTAGGATGAGACCATCCAGAGATCTTGTACATAAAACTTCCACATCCAGGAAATTAATAGTTGTACTCGACATATAGTCATGATTCATAATGTAAATCATAGTTAAATATGCAGATTTTCTGTCCAACACAAAACGAACTACTAATTCTATAAAAACTGGAAAATCTTTCACAAAACTCATGAATTCTTGAAGGATGTTTATAAACTTAAAATATTAAAGAAAATGGTTCTTCTCATGTATATCGTGCCTTTCAAATGAATGTCATGAAAACTAGTAGGCTGATACAAGTCCGTCAGTCAGTCAGCAACAACGTAGGACTTCGTACTTACGCACATCAGTTCAAGTTGCCGTATCACACTAGCACAGAGATACAATTGTCGATTCAAATCCCGTTGTGATAGAGGTAGTAAAAGTATAGGTAGTAATTGGAAAGAATAGGGTTTGAAGATGCTAGTCAGGGAGTATAATCCAGTGAAATAAATTTGGAAAGAGAGAAAAAAGGGACACGAATAATTCAGAAGATTAGAATTTGGAAAAACACAAAGAGTGGGTACAAGACCATGCTAACTATCAACCTCCTGTATTGATGAAGTCATGAAACGTGTGAGGCCAGTTATGTTTTATGATCGTCAGTTTACTTTCCAGATGATTTCTAATGAACTAGATTGGGAAAGTCATCTGTGCACATGGTTCTAACAAACAGTGACGCATTTTAAAAGCCTGATGTACCTGAGGGCATCCAGGAATGTTATGAACATTCGAGACTGAAGTGGAATAGTTGTACTGATAAGAATATGGAATATTTCGATGGATATACGATTTGTATATTCCTTAAATTTTGTGAAATAAATATTTTGTGCTATCAGTTTACATATTCATCGGATAGAGTTGTTTACGAAGTCTAAATACTGACAAATTGTAAACCATTTTAAGAAAATTATTATTATTTACCATTTTTGTTACAAGTTATGTAGAATAGGTGATTTGTAGCTAGTAGTGAAATATATGATGTGCGTTTTATCCTATTTGGGTCTCGTTAGCTGAGTATGCTTGCACCTCAGTGCTGATTTTTACACTAGGACTCAATCGTCGTACCCTTTGCCCTAAACGCTACTGACGTGTCCTGTATGGGACGAAACCACGTCCTGGAATCCACTGTTAGTCAATCTATTTGTTCTACATAACTTAGCAAAAATACCCATCATTATTATTGTTGAGGGCTTTATACAATATTGTGTTTAGTGCAATGTGAAATTGTCAGCACACAATATTTCAACAAGTTTCCCCCGCAAAAATCAAAGAAATCGCTAACTGCATGCATCTGTACATGAAATAAGTAAACAAAGAGTGAAATTAAATGGAATCGAGGTAATCCGCGCAGGATGTGCGTATGCCAACAAAGACTGATCAAATCTTGTTAAGAAAATCTGTGGCGTAATTCAGAGTATTTGGGTTCTGAATGTGTAGAAGATATTTCCAAACGAGAGATTATATTTGTAGAAAATCTCAGAAACTGGAATTATAAACGATCAAACAGGTATTTAATGTGATATTTGCTCGTAGATATTCACGCTTAGCGGTTATCTTAAACGAAAGTTATAATACGGTCAAAAAGAAATGCCATCAGCAAATTTTCTACATATGACTACTAAGTATCAATGGTTTTATTTTAACTAATGGACGTATCCTAGTGGTAGTTATATTCACAATATTTGGAAAGTGTGACCTTTATTATTTGCATTGACCTATACTGTAAGTGGCGAAAAATCCCCACTCGTAATGGCTACCGATTACTGAAAGAAAACATTTGACTGCGGTTATGTCAAGTTTGTTATTTCAAATTCTACATGGTGCTATACTTGTTTCTTGACCGGTAGGTTAGTGATTGACAAGCTATTAACTAACAGCAGGTCACGGGTTCGAACCCCATTCCACATCATTTAGTTTTGGTAACCAGGTAGTAAAATTATGGCTCGCACAAATTGTATTTCTTTTATCAACTCATTTGTTTGATAAAGGACAATTTTCAAAGCCTATTCCCTTACTTCAGTTTAGATAGTTAGATTGCTATCATTGTTTCTCATACATAGACTGGGCTTGAAAGCTAAGTGTACAAATATGTACCTAATAACTGATTCAATAAAACAAAAATTCAGGTACCACCCCTTTCACACTGCACATTTGAAACTTATCCACAATCGGTTTTCATATTTTCTCTGATCATTTTGATCATATATAGAGATTTAACTAACAAAGACGGATTACATTGTAATATATGAATATTTAATTGTGTTCATTGTAATAAAAGTAAACTAGAAAAATGTTTTCAAGCCCATTTTTGTTTTAAACGTCCTTTTATCAGTGTGATGTTTATATTACAGTCTATTTAATCTCTTCATGCACTTATATTACAATGAAAAATATAATATTTTGTACTTTTAGTAGTGAAATGACAGAATAATGATCGCTACTACCAAAGGTCATTTTATTGTTGTCGAATTTAACCTAAAATTTGCAATATATACGTTTCTGCTTCATTCATATATAACCTCAGACACTGCGTCAAGAATTATGTGAAAAATACTTCTTAAAAAAGGTTAACGATTCAAGTAAAGATAGTAGTGACGAATATCATAAGTTTGAGTTTATTGACTTCAACTTTTATTTACTCATAAAATAATGGTCAAATCGAATGATTCACAAATGCTCTATACCTAGTACAAAAAACAATATCAGGTTCTTAAATTTATAAGATTAATGGTAAACCATATGGAATCATGAACAAGAGATATAACAAACTATTGGCGTATACTTGGATGCTAAATGTCGTTAAATAATTACATGTTTATAATTTATACTATTTTTTCGGTTTACATGGTAGTTGGTCATTTAATGCTATAGTGGCCAATATCATGTTTTATAGTTATCAGTGTTGGTCGAGTTCTTTCGATCAAGTTACAACATTAACTGTCCCCAAATGCTCTGATACGATTGAGGGAGGAGGAGAGTCCACTCACTAAACAGTGTCAGTTTTGATCGAAATGAGAATTCATTCTATTAAAACAAAGCAGTCAGGTAAAAAGACAAATGCCCTGGCACAGCTGAGGGTAGGGAGAGTCAGCTCTCCCTTTCCAAATTCTTTCCTACGACCACGTGCATACAACCACTGCCGGGGAAGTCCTACTACCTGCCTTCCCGCGGCGGGGGTGTTGTTTACCAAATTGAGACGATGGGAAGCGGATGTTTGGCGCTTTAACCGGGTTGGTAGTTACGGAGGATCCATATAGAGATGTTGGAAAACTCTGATTCATAACCAATGGTGCACATGGGCTCCAAGATCCTGAGGGAATATATAGAGTACGAACCTATTGTCGGTCATTGACTACCATGGGACTGCATCTCCTGACGTTGCTCCACTGCCTTGTGGATTAGACTTTTAGGTTAAAGGCTTGGAGAGTGGCCTCTTAAGAAAACCCACCTGCCTCGGTTTGGGTACCCAGACAGTCTCTCCCAGCCCTCACATAAATCGAATGATTTATGTGGCGCAAATGTATTTGGTGCCTCCTTGTACCAATGTTTATGTGTTTAAATAAATAAATACATTTTAAACATGTCTGTAGTTTTGCTCAAGCCGATCAGACAACTGCATTTTATCCATTTATATATATATATATATATATATATATATATATATATATATATATATATATATATATATAATATCAACTATTAAATTATCAGTTTAATTTAAATGTTTCATATGTCTAATTTTAGCTTCATTGAATATTTCAAAGTGAACAGCAATTATTCTACATAATAATAATATTCACATTCATAACATCGAACCATCAAATTGTGATCAATTCAAACATTGAATCTGTTTTTCCTCCTATAATTCATCTAGACAGAAATTGGAAAAGTTATACTATTGGTAGTAGTAGTAGTAGTAGTAGTAGTAGTAGTAGCTATAATTCGCAAAAAAAGAATGACAGTTGACTTTCTATCATGTGGAACGTGTTTTATTACTTTCCGCCTCTCTGATATTAATATGTTTATCGAGCATAAAAAGGCAAGTTGTTGTTTCTTAAGATCACCGTTTACTTCAAATTTAGAAAATAACAAACATTCTTCATTGTTACCATCATCAACATCATCATCATTAGAGACGCCTTCATCAACATCGTCGTTTTCGTCTTCACCTCCATTGATGACATTATCATGTTCAAATGTTATGGACAATATTAATAATAATAATAGTACTTTATTAGAATCACAAAATAGTAGTACTAGCTTTTTAAAATGTGTTCAATGCTCTCGTAAATTCACAACCCCATGGACATTTTTAATGCATGTTCAAGTTGAACACCAATTAATATTTATTGATACAATTGAAAAATTTTCTAAAACACATGAACAACAATTAAAAAATACATTATCGTCAAATGTTGAAGAATTATTGAATGAAACCAATGTTAATAACAATGATTTTAATGTTGATGATGATGATGAGGATGATGATGATGATCAGTGTGAAAATGGTGTATTGCATACAATTGATAAATTACTTTCAGAAAAAGTGAACAATTCCGATTCTGATACAACAATTGCTTCTACTATTACAAATGTTGATGAGAAATATATTAGTCCTAATAATAATAACAATAATAATGATACAAATAGTACTAGTGATACACCTACTATTACAAGTAACACTGCTCATACCGATAACAGTAGTAGTATTAGTACTAATAGTAACAGTCATAATGCATCAACACAAACTTATCTAACTGGAATTAAACAACATAGTATACCTCATAGAAAACGCAAATATGTTAGTTGTTGCATAGGTGAATCAACAGTGACTTGCAATAAATTTAATAATATAAAAACTTGTTCAAATGTGAAAAGTTGTAATCTTACACTTTCATCGTGTTGTAATAATTTATCGACTGGAATATGTCCATATAATCTTAGTAGCAACAATAATAATAATAACAGTAATAATAGTAATAATAACAATAATGATAATAATAGTAATGGCAGTTCTATGAATTCTGATATTTATGTTAGTGATTATTGTTGTACTACAGGATCAATTATTTGTAAACCGACAACATGTTCAAATTTATTAAATACTAATGAAATAATTACACAAGATACATCGAGATGTACTGCATCTACGGCAATTGTTAGTTGTTGTATGCGTAAACTTGTTTGTTGTACATCAACACCGGTAACATTACCAATATGTTGTGATCGATCAATGCAAAATGAAATTAATAATAATAATTTTATTATTCAAGAAACAAAAACTACCAATACTGCTCGAATTACATGTTGTCCTTGTTCACCGAAAAGATCAATAATCAGTCAGTCATCTGAAGTACAAACTGATTTCGATCCAGAATTCAGTTATTCTGATTATGCTGATTTAGCAATGTTATTAAATGCAGCTACACCGACAACAATTACAAGTCCATTAAATTCAATATTATCACCACAATTACCATTATTATCAGACATGACCATACAACAATCATCATCACCTCCAACACCACCACAACAACAAAATAATGATAATGATGAATATTGTCAAAATATTGAATTACATTTAAAAAATGACATAATTAATAAACCTTATATTAGTGTTGTAAATAATAGTAATTCTAAAATAAATGATAATTATTTATCATCACAAATTGATCATATCAATAATACAAATACAGATATTGATAATGATAATTCAATTATATTGAATAATTCCTCATCATTATTGTCAACAATACCGACAACAAATGTTGACATAGATGTAACAATGAAATCAATGCCTGTTTCGTCTGGAAATGCCATAATTACATCGAATGTTAATAATAATGATAACATGATCACATCCACTGCCAATGTTATCTTTCAAATGCCAACAATAATGCATACAAATTTGATTACTTGTCCTAATATTGATAATAAAATTAATAATAACAATAATGTCAATAAGTATTACTGTGATTCAATTCCACCACGACGTTATATCTGTCGTGATTGTGGTACATCATTTCGTCAAAATGTTCACTTACGTAAACATATCATGATACAACATACTAAAGTAAAACCATTCAGTTGTCCTTATTGTCAATATACAACTGTTGAAAAAAGTCATCTTACTGTACATATACGTACGCATACAGGTGAAAGACCATTTAGTTGTCGTGAATGTAATTATTCATCCGCTCAAAATTGTACATTAAAATCACATTATTTACGTAAACATCCAACTAATTTAATTAAATGTAATTATTGTACTGAATTATTTTTTACTGAATTAGAATTAACTAAACATCTACGTGGATGTAGTTCATCTTTTCGTCAACAGTAACAAATTATTGTAAATTGTATTATTATTTTTTTTTAAACAAAAGAAGAAAGTAACTCCGGTGTATTTTTTTCGTAGATTCATAATAACATGGTGTTATTTGTACAGGTTTAGGCGATTATTACTATTATTATTAGCACTATCAACATTGTCTGTGATTATTTGTATATTATCATTATTATTTACTGTTGTATTCACTATTAATACCAATACTATTACCACTATCAACTATTACGATTGTCTTTATTGCTTTTCGATGTATTTATATGGTTCGAATCATTGACTGATCTTAGTTAGACAACTACTTAAGTCGAAGAAGCACTGAATAGTTGTTCTGTCTTGATGTGTACATTCACAACTCCACCAGAAATTGAACCTGATACCTTTAGGCCACACTACGAAGTATTTAATCTCTAAACCACTGAGTTATCGTCCATTAGTTTACTTTCTGATTTCAGGTGTTTTACAGTTATTGTCTAATGCCATTATTAAATAACTGTCTCACTGCCGACAAGTTTAGACTCCACTAGTCACTGCTTTTCACTAGAACTCTGGGGATTATTGTTGCGTCCCGCTGTCATTCATTTCAGATACAAATATACACACTTCCTATACCATTGCCCACCCTGCTGTGTGAGTGAATTAACTAAGGAGCTGTAAGTCGTATTCGAATAAAATGTACACACACTGGTAACATCTATAAATCTGTATTTTTGACACAGACAAAGATATATAGACCAGTATCTTGACTGCGTACGTGGTTTGCTTTATTCGATAATATGGCTTGTGTATCATCTCTGATCTACGATTTGACCTTCCATGTTATGTGTTGTATGTGAATCCTCCAGATTTATCATTGATTACAAAGTTGTGTTCGTCGATTCCCCCTAAATACTGACAATATAGTATTCATCAAATTTCGATGTGGTCACCAGCCTGAGTAGACATTAGATGTTAAATACCTCCGAACACATCAAAACATATTACACGCGATGTCTGTTAACTTAGACTAGTAACGATAATGCAACTTGATCGATAGAGTCTGATTAGCATTAAAGGACTAGACTAACACGACACTTCGCTACTCACTGATCGAGCAGTTATACAATAAAAGTATAGGGATTTTCAATACATAAAGAAAAGTGATCGAGTTGTTAAATAGTCTAGTAACTTACGCAGATTAGTACTACTGATCCCATCATGTCATGTTATATAGAAAATACTTTGGTGATCAGTCCTAGGCATATATTTTGATGTCAATGTCTACTTGTAATCAAGATTTCTCAGAATCAATATACATGAGCTCATGTATTTTATGTTCAAAATTCCCACTAACAATGTGCAGTAACTCGGTTATGGTTTATAGATAATCGTCTCATTGCACATAATCCCTTCACTATCCACATACAAACGAAGCAGTCACATGTACAACTATTAGCTTGCTTAAATTATTAGATATCAGATATTTATAGGAACTTCTGTGATCATAGTAAAGTCAGTCACTGTGAATACCTTCCTATTCTTCAGAAGGATTTCACGCAAAAATCGTTCTCTTCGAGATCTTTATCACGGTTCATTAAATAATCGGAAGTTTCATTTCAATAGACTACTAATTTCATAGCAAACTTTTCTTCGATTCAAAATCCAACACCCATAAACGTCTCTTGAAAATGATTTTCAAACTTATTGTTCAAAATAAATATATAAGACGACATAACTGTCATAATAAGAATAGAGAATTGGTATTCATATTGAAAAATTACTGGTTTTATTATGCATCCTGTGCGGATTGTTTCGAGTCCCAGAGTGAACATCAACTCTGGGGTGCAGGTACACCCAGCTGACGAGTCCCAAATAAGACGAAACATGCGTCCTGGATTCCACTGCTAGCCACTATCCATGTTTGCTTATAAAGGTTGTGACTTAAGGTAATACCGGGGCAATCCGCACATATACCAACAAGTGACTGATTAATTGCCGTCCTAAACATCAATGGGAAGATACAAGCAAATAACACCAAATAAATTTAAATTTCATATACGTTTTAAAAGCGAATTTCCAGTTGACGATATTGAAGGTACGCTTCAGACTTTCCAGGGATTTTCACAAATTGAATTTATTTTCTAACCTTCGGAAAAGCTATTAATATGAGACGGTAATTATGTATAGTCAGGTTGAAGCTTTATGACATACACATCTACTTAAATGCAGTTTATGACGTAAAATTACAAAAGTATCTAATTAAAAATAATGAATTAATTAATGATAAAAACAATACAAGAAGTGGAATGTTTTATGTTCTTTACTAATATTATTATTATCTCTGCTTATAATGCTTGTGGTCTAAGGCAATATTGATGCAATCCGCACAGGATGCGTATATGCCAACAACTGACCGATCAATTCTAGGCCTAAACAACAATGGGAAGATCCAAACAACCGATACAAAATAAATTTAAACTTCACCACATTGCGCAAGCTAGTGGCTATTAGGACTCAGTAGCTGAGTGGATAACATAATGGTATCTGAAGAAAGCGATACTAGGTTCGAGTCTCGGGGTGAACATTGACTCAGACGCAGGTACATTCGTCTGATGAGCCCCAAATAGGACAGAACATGCATCCTGGATTCCACTGCTAACCATCATCATCTGTGTTTATAACTATTGTTATTATTATTTATCAGTACATTTTATTTTTACTAAAATTACAAATGATGTTTTCCGTATCATCATTACAATTTAAATAATTTTGAATTTAATAGGAAATATTTGCTTTACCAATATACTCGTATAGAATATTCATTTAAGTTGCATAACATTGATATTATTGTATTGAATAGATGGCTAACATATACAATGTATGTGCTTATCGATAGTGTGTTTTAGATAACCAAATTTTCCTCATTACAAGGTTATTAGTTCAATCTAAGCATTGAATATATATATGTATATATATACTTATTACAACCTAAAAAACTTCTATCAGAATGGCACACTATAAAAATAAAGAGTAATGATCTGTCAAATAAATACGAGAGTTGAGGTTGGTTTCTATAAATATAATTAGACAAATGATTTTATGGTATTATACTTAAACGTCCAACATCTTGTCTCAATTTGATATTGGTGACTTCTATTTATTTCACTACTAATAAAAGTTTATATTTCCATAAAATGAGTATGTCTTATTTCATTGCATACAACTGTACATGGAGTAAAGTATTTAAAGACACTTGTTGGACTATTCAAATAAAAAAAACCTCATATCATATTTACGACTAGATTCAAAAGTTGGTTATGCCATTTAGAGAGAGATAGGATACATATCCGTGAGTTTGTACCGGATTCGTTTTTCAGTTTTCAATGTGTGTGCGGTATTAGGAGATTTCAGGAAGTCTTCCGTTCATTAAATATGTGAGTGTAGCAAATAAGTTAACTTTCACTGAAGATCTCATTTCAAGCTCTAACTATCCATTTTTTTTTCATCCGAAAAGTTGGGATGCTCTACAGTGTCATGTTCATAGAGAACATTAGTTGATAGCTTTAGATGGTTGAAATGAAATCATCTATAAAAATTCTGTCATTAAATGAACAGAAACATGAATTCATGAATCGATTTAAGCTAGACCACCATTTAAAACCTGGAAACACTGGACGGCCATCTCATTCTAGTATGGGACGTGTCATCAGAGCACTGCACGATCCCGCACGTGGGACTTGAACCCAAGACCTTTGATCTCGCGCGCGAACGCTTAACCTCTAGATCACTGAGCCGGTGTTAATGTCTAACTTAAAGGAGTCCCGCTTGTGGGACCATGGACGTGCATTGCTGAGGAGTCCCGTACTAGGACGAAATGGTCGTTCAGTGCTTTTAGGCTTTTAATGGTGGTCTAGTTTAAATCGACTCATGAATTCAACTATTAGATTAGTACAATCTCCACAAACGCCCATTCTGTGATAATGAATTGAAAAATGTTTGAAAATGATAGAAATTGTACTTTTATCAGACAACAAAATAATAATGTTTAACCTCGAACTTATTCGAATTGACAAACGTCAAAAATGTTACCATTTTTTTTTCTTATCTTAAAGTATTACACTTCGAATAAACCATAAGTTACATACATACACAAATCTAACGAATATTATATTCGTATCAGAAGAAGTTTTATGGAGTTTTTAGTAATTTATATTCATTTAAAACTATTGGAGGGGTGGGAATGAGAGACAATGTTTTCAACTTGTAGGATATAAACTTTTAAATGTTGAATCTGTTTTCAAAATCATTTTAGAGTTCCAGTGAGAATTTATCTCCTTGTACTATTATCTTTATCTGTTTTTGTTTGACCTTGAATTTAACCTCAATGCTTAACCTTTACACCACTGAGTTTTTATATATATTATTTTCTTTTTTGGAAAAATATTCATAACATGTATATGCTTGTATGACCAATTCATTAAAAGCTAATCTATACAAATACTGTCGATTATCAAACACGCTTACTTTATTTTAATTGACGTATCAAAGTTTCACTGTTCCCATTGTTGATATTATGGACTGCAACTGATCAGTTTCTTTTCGCTTATGTATATTCTAAAGAGGTTGTCTCAATATCTCCATTAAGTCACAAGCATATTTAAGAAAAGTTGGATGGTGGCTAGTAGTAGAGTCCAAGTCACGCATTTTTTCCCTATTTGGCTGGTATTTGAACCTGAGATTTTACTGGTTAAAGGCAATTGCTTAAGTCCTTAAAACATCACACCATAAGTTGTGTAAAATATTAAATGACGTGAGGAAATCCTTATCCATGAAAAACTCGAAACAAAATAAAGGATTATAAGCAAAGATGGATAGTGGCTAGCAGTGAAATCCAGATTTATGTAATGAAAGTGATTGTAAAACAAAAGCAGATGTTTATTATCAGAAGGAGTTTTGTGGAGATTTTAGAAATTTCACTAGTTGAAGCTAGACCACCATGGAAAACCTGAAAGCACTGGACGGCCGTTTCGTCCTGGTATGGGACTCCTCAGCAGTGCGCATCCACGCCTCCGCTCCCGCCCCCCGCGAGATTCGAACCCAGGACTTATCAGTCTTGCATGCGAGCGCTCAACCTGGATGAGACGGTCGTCCAGTGCTTCCAGGTTTTCCATGATGGTCTAGCTTCAATAGACTCATGATTTCAACTAGTGAAAAGCAGATGTATTAATGAAGGTGTATGTTATCCTGAA